CCCCCCCCCCCCCCCCCGCACATTGCATTAATATCGGCCTCCAGTAAGAAACGAAGACGCATCCAATCTTAACAGAATAAGCAGATCCTATCTGTAACATTTGTACTTTATATTTCATCGTATTGTGGTGGTTGCGCAGTTGTTTAGTCGCTGTCCCCGAAGTGCTTTGGACCCTGTGGTTTGAGATTCGAAGTCCGCCACTGCCATCCAACTTTGGTGGTGGGTGACTTTGCTGTCACCCCGTTCTATACCACGCCTGAGCTAGCGGGGCCTTATGTGATTCACCACTCCAAGTCCCGAGGCTTGAGTTTCCGGTTACCATATCTGAACAGCAGATTTTCGTGACTACGGGGTCCCTCCCGACTGCTGTTCATCACACACTGGTGTGTGTAATAAAAAAACTTACAGTCACCAGTTGTTGCAATACTCACATTACCAATGTGAGAATAAATGGCGAATTTTACAGCGGGTAGAGCTTCCCGAACAGATGCTCTTGGAGACGCGTTCCGTAATCGCATTTCCAATTTTCATTCTGCTTTTTTATCCAAGCGGGAAGTCACAAGATAGCAATCAAAACTGGCGCATAAAAACGCATAGTTGTTAAAACGGAATTGAACTAATTCCCCCAGGGCGAGGGACGAGAACTGTATCAACCTTGCTAATAGAGTACAAATAACAAAACGCAAAGAAATATGCCGGCGAAAGTGTCTCCTGAATGACACCGATCGTAAATGATCAAAAAGAGCGCTAGTTCCGTTAACCCATCACTATCAACCTGACTCTGTCTCTGGTCGACTAGTTGCCGTATCTGTCGCACCGCAACCCGGAAAGCTGGAGGGTCACAGACAGACAACTACCACCACTTGTAAATTTGCGGCTTTTGAAACGCGCGCGGGCGCCCGTCTGTTTGTTAAAACTTTAGTTTACTTCCAGTGTCAAACGATTGTTCACGTTTAGAACACCAGTTCAGCCGAACAGTTGTTTTCAGTAGCTCATAATCATGCCGTTACAGTTTATATATGGGGGAAAAAGCTAGAGGTTGGTGCAAGAACAATAAAATGTGAGGAATCGTTCACTTTGTGTATGCGTGTGTGTTGCACGCCGCATACCCAGATTTGTGCGTCCGGGGTTTTCAGTTATGTCATGTTGTGTGTAGGCAGGGGAGAGAGGTGGGTTCGCGAACGCAGGGGAGAGATGGAGAGCTTGTATAGACGCTTCTGGGCACATAGTTGGGGGGGGGGGTCAAATGTTTAATCCAGATGGCTTCGGCTACGGTCAGTGTATGCATTCTAACATGCGGAATGCTTCACTTGGGTTAACACGATAGACATTGTCTACCAAGTGAGCGAGAATCGCACTTGTAATAGATCCGGAACCACCTTGACTCAGCCAGCACGGATGGTACTCTTTTATGCGGATAGATAACTGCCGACCGACGTAGAGTGCGTCACAAATGCATCTGGATGAGTAAACAATCATTCAAACGGTCAACATCAGTAACTGGTTTTTATTTCATATGGTTATCAATGACGAACTTTTGAAAGAGCAACGTCATAGATGCGCGGGTGTTGTGTTCTTAATGGGAGTATGGGTATGGTAATTTTGATGATTGTTCGCGTGTTTCTACCCGGAAGTGTGCCATGGTCGGCCATTGTTATTTTTTATTTATCCTACTCACCTGCTGTTGTTTTTCTTTCAAATGACTCGGGATTGTTTCATTGAGAACTGAACAACTTACACGTGCCTTCACCTTGCCTAATTTCCAGTCCACGATGCTATCTGTCGAGATGATGATGGAGAGTTCAGCGACCATGCGATGCACGACGATTTGGCGTTCATGGGCGAGCCCGAGACTCCCTATCTAGCCCCACCCAGTGTGCTCTCCGAGGCTCCGCCTAGCGTTATGCAAGTAAGCGATTGTGTTCCGCAAATCCCCATTTTCACCTAATGTTTTGATTGTGTGGAGAGACGTTCTTATTTCTATTTGTTTCTGTGGTCACGAGTGGGTGTTTAGGGTAGCGGCTGGTCACCCTTCCCTTGCACCTCGCAAAATGCTTCCATACGACCAAGCGTCTCAAATAGCCTCTACTGAGGAAGTCCTACTCATTGCCTTCTTGTGGTGAAGGTATTTTCCCACCAAAGTGGGAGGACGAAAAGCCGAAATCCGAGGCTATAACCGGGTTGGTGGACCACTGGTAGTTCACCTAGGGGAGTTAGCCAAAAACCCTGATTCCAAACCAACCAAGGGGAGGCGTACGAACCACATACACCTTCCTGGTTGTCGATTCCTCACGAATGTTCACCTACCTTGGCCTAGGCTACCTG